CTTGGAAGAAAAACTATGACAAACCTAGACAATGTATTAAAAAACAGAGACATCATTTTGCTGACAGAGACCCATATAGCCAAAATTATGTTTGTTTTTTTTTCAGTAGTCATATACATATGTAAGAGTTGGATAATGAAGAGGGCTGAGTGCTGAAGGACTGATATTTTCAAACTGTGGTGCTGGAGAAGACTCTTGAGAGTCCCTTGGACTACAAAGAGATCAAACCAATCAATCCTAAAGGAAATCAACCCTGAATATTCATTAGTAGGACTGATGCTGACCCAGAACTTCCAGACATTCAAGTTGGATTTAGAAAAGGCAGAGGAACAGGAGATCAAATTGCCAACATCCACTGAATCATCAAAAAAGCAAGAGAATTCCAGAAAAAAGCATCTACTTCCTCTTCACTGACTACAATAAAGCCTTTGACTGTGCATCACAGAAAACTGTGGAAGATTCTTGAAGAGATGGGAGTACCAGACCATCTCACCTGCCTCCTGAGAAATCTGTATGCAGGTCAAGAAGCAACAGTTAGGACTGGACATGGAAAAACAGACTGGTTCAAAACGGGAAAGGAGTATGTCAGAGTACATCATGTGAAATGCCAGACTGGATGAAGCTCAAGCTGAATCAAGATTGCAGGGAAAAATATCAGTAACACCAGATATGCAGATGACACCATCATTATGGCAGAAAGTGAAGAAGAACTAAAGAGTCTCTTGATAAAAGTGAAAAAGGAGAGTGAAAAAGCTGACTTACAACTCAACATTCAAAAAAACCATGATCATGGCATCTGGTCCCATCACTTCATGACTGATCAATGGAGAAACAATGGAAAGAGTAACAGACTTTATTTTCTTGGGCTTCCAAATCACTGCAGATGGTGGCTGCAACCATGAAATTAAAAGACATTTGCTCCTTGGAAGAAAAGTTATGACAAACCTAGACAGCATATTAAAAAGCAGAGACATTACTTTGCCAAAAAGGTCCATCTAGTCAAAGCTATGGTTTTTTCCAGTAGTCATGCATGGATGTGAGAGCTGGACCATAAAGAAAGCTGAGGGCCAAATAATTGATGTTTTTGAACTGTGGTATTGAAGAAGACTCTTGAGAGTCCTTTGGATAGCAAGAAGATCAAACCAGTCAATCCTGAAGGAAATCAGTCCTGAATATTCATTGGAAGGACTGATGCTGAAGCTGAAGCTCCAATACTTTGGCTACTTGATGAGAAGAACTGACTCATTAGGAAAGACCCTGATGCTGGGAAAAATTGAAGGTAGGAGGAGAAGGTGGGGACAGAAGATGAGATAGTTAGATAGCATCACTGACTCAATGGACATGAATTTGTACAAACTCTGGGAGATAGTGAATGACAAAGAAACCTGGCATGCTTTCCAGTCCATTGGATTGGAAAGAGCTGGACACAACTTAGTGATTGAACAACAACAATTTAAGATGTACAACTTGATGATTTGCTGTATGTGTACATTGTGAAATAATCATTAAAATCAAACTTATTAACATATCCATTATCTCATGAAATTAAATTTTTTTGGGTGCATGTGGTGAGAAAACTTATGATATACCCTGCTAACAAATTTCACATATACAGTTCAGTATTTTCACCTATAGTCACCATTCTACACATTAGATCTCCAGAAGTTATTCATCTTGTATAATTGAAACACCTTTGACAAATATCTCCCCGTTTCTCCCTCCCCACAGTGCCTGGTAACCACCATGCTACACTGCTTCTTTGAATTTGACTATTTTTGATTCCACATATAAATGAGATCATAGAGTATTTTTTTCTGTGACTTTAAAGTCATAATAGCTACAATGAAAAAATTCATGAAATAGGCTCCAAGAGCGTTGGAATTGATGAAGAAAAAGTTAATTGGAAGGTAAATCAACAGAAATAACTCAATCTGAAGAGGAAAAAATAGAGATGAAATGAACAATTTCTTTGAAATTTTTGAGACACTATCAATTGACCCAACATATGTGTAATTGGAATAACAGAAGGAAATAAAAAGATAAAAAGAAAGAGTATATTTGAATAAATGATAGCTAGAAGCTTCTCAAATTTGGTAGAAGACAATGACTTACAGTCTCCAGATGTTCAACAAACCATAAGTAAGAAAAGCACACAGAAGCATATTATAATTGTTGATAGCTGAAGGTAAAGAGAAAATATTGAAACAGGAGAACTTTGACATATTACATAGAGCAAAATATGATGCATTATTTGCAACATTTTCATCAGAAATGAGGGAAGACAGATACATTAAATGCCATGGGAAATGGAAAAAAAAAATCTATTGATCAAGAATTTTTTATCCAGTAAAACAATTTTTGACAAATAAAGACAAAACAAAGATGCTTTCAGGTAAAAGCATAACTAATTTATTGCTGGCAAACATGCAGTATAAGAGTCCTTCAGGCTGAAGAAAAATGAAACTCATCATAACTTGGATATACAGCTAAGAATGGAGTATTAAAAATGGTAAATGTATGCTTAAAAATAAAGGATTATATACACTAATATAATTTTCCTCTTAATTTCCTTAAGAAGGCATATGCATGTTTGAAAATTATAGCAATGGATTAATGGAATTAAGTAATGGAACTCTGTGTGTGCAGGCCTGTGTGTGTTAGTCATTCAGTCATGTCCAACTCTTACGACCCCATAGACAATATCCTGTCTATCTCCTCTGTCCATGGAATTCTTCAGGCAAGAACACTGGAGTGGATTGACATTCCTTTCTCCAGCAGATCTTCCTGACCCAGGGATTGAACCCAGGCCTCCTGAATTGCAGGCAGGTTCTTTAACTTCTGAGCCACCAGGGAAGCCCAAATGGAATTATGCAATTGCAAATTTGCTATGTTTTTCTTGAAGTAATTCATTATTAAGCTTAAATAGATTGAGTTAAAAAATGCAGGCTATAATCTCTAGACTAACAAATAAAAATAGTAAGGAAAACTGCCATAAAGTCAATAGTTACACTAATGCCATCCTAGTTTCCACATTTCATCTCTTGGATCCTCCTAATCAATGCAGAGTACCAGGAGTTATACTGTAGTTAGGACAATGTGTTCTTAGGTCCTCTTGCCCCTGTGTTACAAACAGGCAGTCTTATATTAACAAATTGCTTAATTTTCCCATGCCTCAGTTTTTTAGTCTTAAAAATGAGAAAATTAAATAACCTTTAAATACTGTGACTTTAAATGTGATTGTTAAATTAACAAAAAGCAGTGAGTAAAAAGCCTGTCATTGAATTACAAGATAACACATCATTGTTGGTTTTACTGCATCAATGAATGGGTGATGATACATATTAGAGATGCAAATATTCATGTCACTAGTATTAATAGAGGAAACTGCATGCTGAGAGTGAAGAGTTAGATAAGATGATTAGCCTGGGTAGACTTTCTGGACATTTTTACATTTAAAGATAATCTGAGTATGGTAGATTGGATATCTGGGTGCAGATACTGCAGTATTTTGCAAAGAAGAAAAAATATGAAAATAAGGTAAAAACTACTTTTAAAAAATGTGACTGAAGATGGTGGGACAGACATTTGAAGATATTGATATACAAGAAGAGATTGAATTTAAGGGATATTGGAATATTCTGAGAAATATTTGAGTGTGAAGGTATACGTGACCTCAAAATAGAAAGAACATCAGACATGGTCATCTAAAACTTTTAAGACAGAAGTAATGGAAGGTGAATACCTGTTTTCTTTCTATTCTTCTTATAGTGTGAATTTAAAAGCATCAATTTTAAGTTCTGTGATTTTGGGCTGGTCACTTAAACTCTATTAGGCTCACTTTCTTCTTCAATTAAATGCAACTGTTACCATTTCTTTCTAAGTCCTTCAAAGTTTTAAAATAGATTAACCTATGAAAGTTATATAATGTTTAGCACAAAACAGATATATAAATTATTGTTTGAATCACAATCCTAATATCCCTTTTTTCACATTTCCTTTTTCTGCTTTTCCAAGAAGAATATTTCTAGTTAATGACAAGCACAAATTGCTTGCTGAAACAGCACCCACTGGGACTGTGAAATCTTCAGAGAGAGAGCTGTTTTCATGGAAACAGATTCACCCCTGGGAACAGGGGCTTGGAAGGTTCCCTGGTACCATTTGGGAACATCACTCTGGCTCAGAATAGGAGTTTCTAATCTGGACCTCAAGTCCTTTCTCCTACAGACAGGTCCACCGAGGGTCAGATTAGTACATGGCTGCTTAAAGGCAGGACTTGTCCTCACTGTGAGCCACTTCAGGTGAGTAGGGAATCCTCCCTTGTCTAATCTCTCAGAGACAGTGAAGCCTGACAGCTGATCATTGGGCTGAAGGATGTGCAGCTTGCCCTGATTTTTCCTTCAGTGCTTTGCATAGACTCACATGAACAAGGACTTGCAGAAGGGGTGTTATAAATATAAGAGATTATTGTTGAGCAAACTGTTTCTTATTTTGTGTCATGTGACCGAGTATCCAACAGTGACTGAGAAGAGTCATCATTGTTTGGGGGAAATAACATTTGATTAGAACACAAGGCACTTTTTCTCTGGTCTTGGCTTAATATGACCTCAGGAAGTCACTCCACGCTCTTGGCTCTGTCACTTACTCACCAAAATAATGCCCATCAAGCTACCAAACTTCAAGTTCTAACAAGCAGCAAGATGTGTCCACATGTGTATTATGTAATATTGTGTGTATAATGTTGGTATAAGTATATGTGTGCTGTGCATATCTACATATATAAGTGCTGCCTGAATATATGTTAATTTACAATGTGTGTCCATGTTTGATATTAATGGCAAATGTGCAGTGCATGGTTTTGAACATGTAAAATGTGCACAATTATGTGTGAGTGCTTTGCATGTGATATGCATGTATATAAATGCATACATATATGCAGTCACATATGTCTGTGTATATTGGGTATCTTTATATTCACATATGCACATCTATGTATGTGAGAATGGATTCATAATCTGTGTGTCTAATAAGTATCTTTCTGAAGTTTATTACTGTCTAAATCTTTTTAGTTACAACAGGTACAAAGAAATCAGAATCCACCTCATCTTCGCTTTTTAAGAAACTAGACATCTCCTGGCAAAGTGGAAGGAATCAAGTCTATCAGGATGTCACTCAGAATGGAGCAGACCAATGCAACCTTCTGGAGGGGCTTTGTCTTCCTAGGCTTCTCCAGCTTTGGGAAACTGCAACTCTTGCTCTTTGCATTGTTCCTCTCCCTATATCTTGTCACCCTGACCAGCAATGTCTTCATTATTGTAGTCATCAGGCTGGAAAGTCATCTGCACACCCCCATGTACCTCTTCCTTTCCTTCTTAGCTTTCTCTGAGACCTGCTATACCTTGGGCATCATCCCTCGAATGCTTTCTGGCCTTGTCAGGGGTGAGCAGGGCATCTCCTTTGTGGGCTGTGCTGTCCAAATGTTCTTCTCCGCTTCATGGGCCTGCACCAACTGCTTTCTTCTGGCGGTCATGGGCTTTGACAGATATGTGGCCATCTGCGCCCCACTACACTATGCCAGCCGCATGAATCTTACTCTCTGTGCCCAACTTGTTGGCACCTCATTTCTGAGTGGGTCCCTCTTTGGTCTGGGAATGACACTGGTCATTTTCCACCTCCCATTCTGCAGCTCCCATGAGATCCAGCACTTTTTTTGTGACACGCCGCCAGTGCTGAGCCTGGCCTGTGGAGATACAGGCCTGAGTGAGCTGGGAATTCTGATCCTCAGCCTGCTGGTTCTGATGGTCTCCTTCTCCCTCATCGCTGTCTCCTACGCCTGCATCCTGGCAGCAATCCTGAGGCTCTCCTCCACCGAGGGGCGGAAGAAGGCCTTCTCCACCTGTGCCTCACACCTCACAGTGGTCGTTGTTCACTACAGTTGTGCCTCCTTCGTGTACTTGAGACCCAAAGCCAGTTACTCTCTTCAGCGGGATCAGCTGATTGCTGTCACCTATACTGTCGTGACTCCTCTCCTCAATCCCATCATTTATAGCCTGAGAAATAGGGCTGTGCAGACTGCCCTGAGAAATGCTTTCCAAGGGGGATTACTGGGTAAAGGATGAAGGCTACCAGATGGGACAGTCTCCTTTGTATGGGCTGGACATACACCAGAAACCGAGGCCAGTGGGCCAGATGGTCAGAGTCTTAGGCCAAACCTACCTATCCCAATTCCCTGAGAGAGCCCCATCCTGTCTCTTACAGGTTCCCCAGGGGAACCTGCTGGGGGAATGCCGAGGCAGGACTTCCTGCTCTGGTTACTGTGCTTAATTCACACTGAGCTAAGAGCCTGAATTTTCATTTCCAGCCTCCCATATGTCAGCAGTAGTTCCTGAAACTCAGCTCATTAAGAATTTTCTAACTGAGCTGAAAAAGATGAAGGGAGTTTCAAGCACCCAAGTTCAAAGCAGCTGGGCTCCTTCCAGGGATACTATAGAGATTTCTAAAATCATTTTATAATTAGACTACCCCACCAATAATGTTCTTCCAAGATCTGAAACTCAGTGACTATCAAGTTAGCAAATCAGTTTGAATGCTTTGCTAAATGAAAAGGTCAGGTTNTTTTTTTTTGTCTTCCACTAGAGGTCTTTAATCTTTTTATGTAGTTTTTTTTTTCTTTAAATCTCTGGCTCATTATTTCTTTGCCCTCCTCTTTTTAACTAGCTCTCCTAGTTGGATAGATTCTATTTATTTCTTATTTTCCTTGATAATTTCTATTCCTCTCTAAATAACCTCCTAATCTTGGGTATATGGACCTCCTCACTTGGGTCACTACTTAGCATGGATACTATCCTTTAGAATCTGTTGTGGAATTCTCTATCCTCTTTGTTTTACTTTCCACCCTCAATATGCATGGTACCAGACATTTTTAGGGATAAGTAAGTGAAAGTCATTCAGTCACGTCTGACTCTTTGCAACCCCATGGACTGTAGCCTGCCAGGCTCCTCTGTCCATGGAATCTTCAGTCAAGAATATAGTGGGTAGCTGTTCCCTTCTCCAGGGGATCTTCCCAATCCAGGGATTAAACCTAGGTCTTCTGCATCACAGGACAATTCTGTAAAGGTGGAATGAATCCACACAGTTGTCAGGTAGGAGTTCAAATACAGGCTCTGCCACTTACAGTGTGACCCTGGGTAAGTTACTTTCTCAGCTTCAAAATCCTTATCTGTCAAGTGGTTTTACTAATAACTTCAAAGTTTTGCATTGCTGACTAAACGGAATCATGAATATAAATTATTTAGTGCAATACCTGGATCATGTTAATAACCATCTTCCAACAAATGTTAGCTGCTGTAATTAATAACATGCTAAGCAAATTGATACTGGCTTTTAATTTTGGGAGATGTTATTCTCGATGGAAGAACAGAGGAGGCTTCATGTCAAAGGAAGTACTTGAACTTATTCTCAAAGAGTGAGTAAATTTTGAATGCAGTAAGTGGAAATAAAGTACATATATTCTAAGGAAACAGAGCAGAATAACTAAAGTCTTAGTGGAAAGACAATACATGCCTTTTACAGAGTATGGTGAGTTGTCCCAAGGGACAAAAATATCTCACAAATGATTGGTGAAGTTAACTAGGGTTAAGACTTCTTTGTGCACAGCATTGTGAATACCTTGCTTCAGACTTGATGTTTTGGGCAGTAAACCTGTGAGCAGAGAGTGGAGTCAAATCTGGGAAGCGATTTAAGAAGATTAATCCAGTAACAAAAAGTGAAGTGTGACCCCATGGACTGTAGCCTACCAGGTTCCTCTGTCCATGGGATTTTCCAGGCAAGAGTACTGGAGTAGGTTGCCCTTTTCCTTCTCCAGGGGACCTTCCCGACCCAGGGATCAAACCTGGGTCTCCTGCATTGCATGCAGACGCTTTACTGACTGATCCATCAGGGAAACTCCAATCTAGTAACAGAGAAGATGATAAATGTTACCAGGCAGAAAAGGAGGCAAGGAAATCAGTAAGAAATTCATTGACATCATTCTAAAGAAAGGCAAAAGGACTTGAATAAAGAGAGAAGCATTGAGAACTGACAGAAATTGTAGACATAAGTGATTTTGAAAATGTAGGATTCATGTGATTCATCAATAAGTTAGAAGTGGGACAATACTTAAGAGAGAGAGAGAAGAATGTATATTAAGGGAATGTTTTGCAGATAGGAATCCATATTTATCTATGCTCTGGGTGAAGAAACATATCCTCTAGTGAGAATTCAGTGGAAAGCAAATGTGGGAGAAAGAAAGCTAGTCCAAAAAGAGAATAAGCTGTAGAAAAGTAGAGTGAAAGGATTTGAGTAGAAAGAACCTGAATCAGGGAAGAAAAGCTATGTATGTACTCTAAACTCCTTTTCAGTGAGTCTGGAAGTAACCTCCTCATTGCACTGAGGCTGTTTGAGCAAATTCATTTCCAAAGTGTATGCAGGTCATCTAGAATCAGTTCAGTTCAGTTCAGTCACTCAGTCGTGTCTGACTCTTTGTGACCCCATGAATCACAGCACACCAGGCCTCCCTGTCCATCACTAACTCCCAGAGTTTACTCAGACTCATGTCCATTGTGTCTGGGATGCCATCCAGCCATCTCATCCTCTGTCGTCCCCTTCTCCTCCTGCCCCCAATCCCTCCCAGCATCAGGGTCTTTTCCAATGAGTCAACTCTTCGCATGAGGTGGCCAAAGTATTGGAGTTTCAGCTTCAGCATCAGTCCTTCCAATGAACACCCAGGACTGATCTCCTTTAGGATGGACTGGTTGGATCTCCTTGCAGTCCAAGGGACTCTCAAGAGTCTTCTCCAACACCACANATTTCTTCACTGATCTCCAGTAACATATTGGGCACCTACTGACCTGGGGAGTTCCTCTTTCAGTATGCTATCATTTTTCCTTTTCATACTGTTCATGGGGTTCATCTAGAATAACATTCCCTAAATGCACACTCAGCAACAATGTGTAGAGATGTTCTAAAAATTGCTAAGTATTAGTCAGAGGTCCGGGCTTTTCTGGTGACTCAGATGGTAAAAAATCTGCCTGCAATACAGGAGACCCAGGTTTGATCCTTGAAGAGGGGAATGGCTACCCACTTCAGCATTCTTGCCTGGAGAATTCCATGGACCGAGGAGTCTGGTGGACTATAGTCCTTCGGGTTGCAAAGAGTCCAGAAAGACTGAACCACAAACAAGTTCACTTTCACTCAAGGGTCCATCTACCTTCTAAATATATTAGTCTTAAGTATGAAAGGATGTAAAAATCACATGAGGGATCATCCAGTATACATTCCTGGGAAACATCTCCATAGATCCTGACACGATTGCTCTGGGGTGGCAGGCAGAAATAATCTACAAAATTAGTGATTCAAATTTCCTCCCTTGATTACAAATACAGCCATATACTTAAACAAGTCCTCCTGCCAGGTACATACACATATATACACATAGCAAAGCGAAGGTCCCCAGATATGAACATGACCATATATGCCCTCTAAAAAAAGATCATGTCTTTTTAAAGAGTCAATTAGTTCCATAAGTTTCTATAATCATTTTGCTTGAGTTTAAAGCATAGTTTTGACACTTTTTAGATGTGTGATCTAGAGGAAGTTTACTAACATTTTTGGGCCTCCATTATCAATGCCAAAATGGAATTTTAGCAGTATCTATTTTGAAGGGCTTTTTGTAATGATTAAGATAAAATATTTAGAACAGAGTCTGCCATACATGAAACACCCAACATGACCATCTATTATTATGTGAAGTTTCTAGGCAGTATCGCTTTAGGCTGACACATTTGTTACCTAGTTTATGCTGGCAGGAGTCAGTGCCAAGCATCTTATATATCATGATATAACCAGACAAGAGTAAAATGCTGTTACCTGGCACAGTGCCTGACTGGAGAAGGTAGGAAGATGGACTAGATCCATCTGAGAGGAGTAGGTACTGGGAAATGGGTCAGGCTCTAGGAAAAAAGAATCAGATGACTTCCAGGCAAATATTTGGCATCAGGGAGACCCATAAAATGTTAAACAGAAAATTCAGTTAGGAGTGAATTTTGGGGACCTAACCAAGTGGTAGTAATCATGAAAGAAAAATCAAGAGTGTAGGCTGTGTCTCAGAGGCAGGCTCCACTCTAAATTATAAAGAAGATAATTACTGAAAGTAGAGCAGGGATTCTAGTTTAAGATAAGTAAACAGAAGATCTAGAAATGAAGACTATATAATATGTGGAGCTTAACCCTGAGATCAAGAGGGAAATTTGATACAAGTTCTAATTGTTGTAATATTATAAGTTGAATATTTATATTCATAATTAAGTTATGCATGACAATTTCTATATTGTCTTTTTTTTTTTTTTTGGCTTGAGTGCACATGTGGCCAGAATCTTATTTCAGAAGGTGCTGTGTGTAACTCTGACAGTACCATCTTTTTAAGGCATTTTTTATTGATTCTTTATATAAATACTATCTTCTTTAGCCTCTATATTATTGCAAAATGCCAGCTGGATGAAACACAAGCTGGAAACAAGATTGCTGGGAGAAATATGAATAACCTCAGATGCAGATGACACCACCCTTATGGCAGAAAGTGTAGAGGAACTAAAGAGTCTCTTGATAAAAGTGATAGATGAGAGTGAAAAAGAACAGAGGATGAGATGTTTGGATGGCATCACCGACTCGATGGACACGAATTTGAACAAACTCCAGGTGCTGGTGATGGGCAGGGAAACCTGGCGTGCTGCAGTCCATGTGGTCACAAAAAGTTGGACACACACAAAAAGTTTGGTCACAAAAAGTTGAGTGACTGAACTAAATTTTGTTGATTCTTTAGATAAATACTATCTTCTTTAGCCTCTATATTATTAATTTCCTTTTCTGAGATGTTACTAATGGTCCTTTGCCTTTAAAGACTCATTGCAAGCCTAACAATGTGATTTAGGACTTTCAGATTTTTGGTAGGGATCAAGGGGAGAATGGAACCATATTCACCTTTGCTTTTGATTATTACAAACATGCATTTTTTTTTTAGATTTTCAAGGCTCAATAAATGTGATATTAAATGATACTGATTTTTGATAGCCTAACAGGCTATTAATTTTTTCAACTATAATGATATTTTGCAGCTCATAATTTGGTAACACAATTTAGACATTTATGAACATTTTTTGAAACATGCTTTATTATTTTTCATAATATGCAATTGTTTAAGCAAAAAACAGCTAAAAAAAAACAAAATAAAACAAAACCTATACATTATTAGCGGCAAAGATAGCTTCTCAGTTTTAACTAAAATTTCTTTAAATGGCTCCTGTGACAGGATTTATCCCTTAGCAAGGACTAATATTTATGCAAAGAATTAGACTGAGACTTAAAATGGTAATCAAGTGACCATACATGGACTGAGAGGCAGAAACTGTTGGTGCAGGATACACAAACAGCTAGGCTGCTTCATTTCATACTGAGCAAAGAAATAAGTCTACTCA